GGGAGGCTGAGGTAGGAGGATTGCGAATTTGAGCCTGGTCAACTTAGCAAGACCCTGTCTCTAAATAAAACATAAAGACTGGGATGTTTCTTAGTGCAAAGGCTCTGGGTTCCATCTCTAGTACCAAAAAAATCAAATAAAGTGAAATTTCTAAATCTGAAAAGAATATTTACCAGCCCCTCCCCCCAAGTACAGGTGACATCATACTTCATTATGAAATACTGTCCTCTTTTCTCTTGAGTATAGGACTCTGGTATCCATAGGAGTATTTTATTTATTTATTTTTTTTGTACCCGGGATCGAACTTGGGACCTTGTACTTTTGAGGAAGGTGCCAGAACCACTGAGCTAAGTCCTCGGCCCCCATAGGAGTATTTTAAAGCCAGTTCCAGAAATCTTATTTATTCTATCAGTAAATATTTCAGCAAATAATTTATACAGTGACAACAGAATGTATTGTCTGTAGTAAGTTTCATGTAATTGTGTCCTTATATGGGACTTAAAATGTATTTCTCAGCTATGCATGGGGGTACACACCTGTAAACCCAGCATTCTGGGAGGCTGAGGCAGGAAGGGAATAAGTTTGAGCCCAGCTGGGGAACTTAGTATGGTAAGATACTGCCCATAAAAATGAGCTAGGGAGCTGGGGATTTAGCTCAGTGGTTCCACCGCCTGCCTTGCAAGTACAAGGACCGGAGTTTGATCCCCAGTACACGCCCCCCCACCCCCCCACAAAATGAGCTAGGGATGAAGCTCAGTGCTAAGACCCTGACTTCAATCTTTAGTACCTTAAAAAAAAAGAAAAAAAATTTTTCCCCTCATTGTGGCATTGTGCTCAGAAAACCTGAGTTTACTGACCTAGAGTTGTATCTTTCAGAATTTTAAAATACTGGTGAATGAAACTTCATTTAAATGAAACCAGTGCCATCTTATTGAGGCTGATTTGTGAGATTACTTTTTCTTATTAATTTTCCAGAAGAATAACTCACATATAATGAACTCCATCTGCTTAAAAGTGTGTAATTCAGTGATTTGTAATTCAGTATTTATCACAAGATAAATAGAATTTCCATTGTACCTAAAAGATTACTTCATTTTCTTTCTGGCCCACCAGTCTACCTATTGTGTTCATTTTGGTTTTTCGTTTGTTTTTGTTTAAAAGTATATGAATATTGAATTTTTAAACTTTATTTTTTAAATAGCTTCAGATGTATACAACTGAGCTAGTACTGTTCCTATGAACTGGCACCTAGTTCTTCTATTTAAAAAATATCTTTCAGGGCTGGGGATTTAGCTCAGTGGCACAGCACATGCCTGGAAAGCACAAGGTCCTGAGTTCGATCCCTAGTACCAAATAAATAAATAATAGCTTTCATTAATACAGTATATTTTCCTAATTCATTACCAAGGGCTATACATCATTAAGTAAAATCCATACTTTATTTAGTTTTCTTTAGTTTAACTTAATATCATTTTTCTTTCCAGGATCCTCTCAGATACTTTATTAGATTGAGTTTTTTGGGGTTTTTTTTTTGGTACTGGGGATGGAACTCTGGACCTTGTGCTTGGGAGGCAGGCGGCGGAACCACTGAGCTAAATCCTCGCCCCTGCCCTAGACAGTTTTTTTTTTTTTTGTACTGGGGATCAGGGGGATCAACTCGGGTCCTTGCGCTTGCGCAGCAGGCGGCGAAACCACTGAGCTAAATCCTCAGCCCTGCCCTAGACAGTTTTGAGGGGAAGTGGCCAGCTTTTCTATAGGATATTCTTTTGTTGGAATTTTCCTTTTTTGTGTGTGTGTGCTGGAGTTCTGACCCAGGGCCTCACACATGCTAGGTAAGTTGTCTACCCTGAGCTCCATCTTCAATCTTGCTGATATTTTTTCTTGCAATTTGACTGGGATTGTAGGTTTTTTGAAACTGACCTCTTTGTGAGGAAGTATAGTGTAAATCTGGAATGTCCAAAATATAAGGCTGCAGTGGCTATGAGATGAAAAACTGGTCCTGAAAACCTGTCGTGCAGTGTGTGGCATAGCATAAATATTCTAATGAAAAAGAGCCCTGAACTAACTATAAATGCCACATCCCCCACCTTTTTTGTTTAGAGCATTTTAAAATTTTTTCTTGCTTCATTGCCATTCCTCATTAAAAAATTTAATCTTTTTAATAAAACATTTTATCTACACTTTACTAGATTCTTAAGTATTTTTGTAAAATAGACTTACCTAGCCCTTAGTTCTTAGTTCTTACTAGATTTAGAGGTACCACCCACAATTAAGATAGGATCTTTAATTCTTCATACACTTTTATCAGTGAGAAGCGTGTTTTTGAAAAGATTGCAGCCATAAGGATATAGAAACAAGTTGAGATTTCACTGAAATTGTCTTTCCTATGGTGTGAGAAAATTTCACTTGTTCAAATTAACTGTATAGCATTGATTCCATCTCAGTGCTACTTTTATGTAGCAAAATTAAAGCTCTTCTTTGGAAGTTGGCAGAAAAAATAAATTTCTGCCTTACTAATTCTGGGAAGAGGTTAGGGATTAGGATGAAACTATGTATTTTCTAAAACGCCTTCTGATATTCATAACAGACATAATTTTTTTTTTAAAGGGGAAGGGGTTTATTTAGCTTACAATTCGTAGAGGTTTCAGTCCATAATCAGCCAACTCCAAGGCAGGGACAAAAATCAGGCATGGCAGAGCAGAAACAACATGGTACACACAGACAGCAAAGGTCTTTAACAAGAGCCATAACAGACATAATTATGGAGATGTTTGCTTGGGAATAAAGTGCCACAATTTAAAAATTTAAAAAATCATAATTTTCATTTTATTCATGAGGTGCTAATGTGGAAGAAAAGATGTGAATTGTCTGTTTCCTGGCATTTTTTGAAAGGGGGTGAGGTAGAAGAAATAGAATTTTGGTCTCAGAGGATAGAGATGTTTATTCAGCTGCCTGGAGATTTTTGTCTATTTCTGGGCCCTGTTCTATTCCGTTGATCTGTTTTTCTGTTGTTAGCCAATACTACACTGTCTTGATTCCTATAGTTTCATAGTCATTTTTGAAATTGGGTGTCGTATACTTTTTTTTGGTAATGGAGATCAAACCCGTGTCCTTGCGCTTGTAGCAGAAGGCGAAATCACTGAGCTAAATCCCCGGCCCTGGGTGTTGTATACTCTTGAGATTTGTTTATTCTTGTTGAGATTAACTGTTATAGAGCCTTTGCATTCCTCTACGAACTTTATAATCATTTTAACAGTCTGTGTTTTAAAAAGGCTGCTGGCCTTATGTCTGAGCTTGTGTTGAATGTATTATTTGAGGAAAATTAACATCTTCATGTTGGTTCTTCTTGCCACGTATACTGTGTATCTTCTTTCCATTTGTTTAGCGTTTCTTGATTCTCTCTCAACAGAGTATTAGTTGTACATCTTGTTAAATTTATTGCTATTTTATTTTTCATGTTTACTTCTGATTTTTACAAATGTAATTCATCTTTGTATATTGACCTTCTATACTGAGACTAGTTTTGTTTTGTTTTTACCCCTCAGGTTTTCTTTCATATGGTGTATGAAAAGAAGGAAATGTAGAGGCCAGGATCAAGCCTCTAAAAATTGGGTTGAGCTGGGTAGGGTGGTGCAAATCTGTAAACCCAGCACTCAGGATGCTGAGGCAAAAGAATTGCCTGAATTTGAGGCTAGCCTGGGCCGCCTATTGAGTTCAAGGCTAGCCTGAACTGCATTGCAAGACCTGGTCTCAAAACAACAAAATAGTAATAAACAAAATATTGGGTTGAAATTAAAAGTTACTTAAATTCATATTAAAATATGAATAGCTGGATATGTTTTCTATGCTCTCAAAATTATTTCTTGAGGAGCATTAGATGTTTACCTAGGTTCCTCCCCCCCCCTTTTTTTTTGGTTTTTTGAGACAAGAGTCTCACTATGTAGTGCACATTGGTCTCAAACTCAGTGATCCTCCAGTGCTGGGATTTACAGGACTGTGCCACCAGGCCGGGCTTACCTAGGTTGTTTTGTTTTGTTTGAGACAGGATCTCCTTGTGTAGTCCAGACTGGCCTTGAACTCACTATGTCGCTTAGGCTAACCTCAACTCACAGTGATCCTCCTGCCTCAGCCTCCCATGCGCTGGGATTAGAGTGCTGGCCTTATAGGCATGTGCTCCTAGGTCTCCACCCCCACCTCCTTTCTAATTGAAAGGACCGCTTACATTTATTTAGTATTTATTGAATCTGTGCCAAACTACTAGAGAAATAATTAGATATTGTTTTTGCTCCTGGAGATTGTGCTCATAAGTAAGGAAATTGCCAGCATTCACTATGATTGACCTAGTTGTACTTTCCGAAAAATACCAAACCAAAGTAGGAGTATGGACCTTTGGGATTTCCCTGCCAATGAAGTGGAGAGGTCTGATCCTGAGATGAGTTTCATAACAGCTTCTCATGGTATTTCTTTCTTATTCTTCAACAGTCTAGTTCTTATATCCCTCATACCCCTCTTAGGACTCTTTATCTTTCTACTCTTAGGGATTATACTGTGATTCACTAAATGAAGTAGACCCGAATCTAGAAGAGTTCTTTTTCTTAAGGTCAAAGTAAATATCTGCTTGGCTTTTAGTGAATTAGGGAGTCTACATAGTTGATTGCTTTTTCTCCATCCTATCTGTTCATTTTCCTCAACTTAACTAAATAAATACTTTTTGGGCTGGGGATTTAGCTCAGTGGTTCCGCTGCCTGCCCTGCAAGCACAAGGAACTGAGTTCGATCCCTGGTACCAAAAAAACCAAAAATAAATACTTTTTACCTGTACTCTTAATGTGAAGAGATTGTTTATGACTAGAGAAAGTAATGTCAACAAGCTTGGGACTATAAGGATTTTAATTAATGATTAGTAGAACTGCTGCAGATACTTTCCCTTTAATTGTAGTTCTCTATAAAACAGTTGCCTGAGAAGTCAATGTAATGTCTCTGTTTTTCTTTTCATTTCAGTTGGAAAGACGTCCTTGATCACCAGATTCATGTATGACAGTTTTGACAACACCTACCAGGTATTTTATTTTTGTTAATTTATTAGTTGTCTATTTTGTGTTAAAATACTTTTCAAGGAATTTTAAAAAATTAATTTACTTAAATGCAGTCATGAATGTAAAACCACTTTCTGTAATCTGTAAGAAGCTATATTAATACAAAGTATAAAGGATTTTTGCCTTATTCAATTAGTCTTTTCTAACATTTTTTGAAAAATTATCTCTAATACCATTTGGGAGGTTATTAGAATTGAGGGTAGGTATTCTCTTACAGAGAATTCATCCAAATATAGGATTTTGTAACATTTTGATTTACACTTGAAGTTAAGAATAAGCCAGGCATAGTGGCACATGCCTGTAATCCTACCACTTGGAGGCTGAAGCAGGACGATTGCCTAGAGTTCAAGACCAGCCTGATCTACATAGCGAGTTCAAGACCAATCTGAACTACACAGTGAGAGCCTGTCTCAGAAAAAATAAGAATAAATAAGTAATAAAATTAGAAATCATTTTGAGAAATTGACTAATAGGTACAATGAGAAAGTCTGCTCCTTATTAATAAATGTCAAAGAATCACAAAAGAAATTGGAAAATACTTTGAGAGGAATAAAAAAGTACAACACAGCAAACTTACAGAATATAGCTAAACTAATGCTATACAGCAAAGAAGAAAGGTATTAAATTAATAAGCTCATTTTCTGTCCTAAGAAGCCAGAAAAAGAAAAACAAACTAAATTCAAAGCAAGCAGAAAGAAAGGGCTACTGTAAAATGTAGGTTTTTATTATTCAGGTTATGATGAGCCCAGTAAATACTGTACATCAGATGATTGCCATTGAAAAGATATTTTGTTATACTCTCAGATCCCAGGATAAGGAAGTATGCCATGCCACAGGAGGGTCACATGGGGAAGTATCAGGGTCATTTAAGAAGTGTGCTAGAAATGTGGAAGGTTAGGTTATTTAATATTTTGATGTTTCACCACAGACAAATAGTGTTTGAGGCTCTTGATAATCCAATAATTGATATGATCATTATGTAAACATGTACCAAAACAAAACAGGTTGTACCCCATAAACTTGTACAGTTATTATGTGTCAATTTAAAATTACACCCTGATAAAGAAGCCGGGTATTGTGGCTCATGCCTGTGATCTCAGCACTTGGAAGGCTGAGGTAGGAAGATCTTTATGAGTTTGAGGAGGCCAGCCTGGGCCACATAAGGAGTTCAAGAACTACATAGTGAGATCCTGTCTCAAAACAAACAAAACAAAACAACACCCTCAGCAAACTAGGAGAGGAACTTTCTCAACACAATAAAGAGCATCTGTGAAAATGCCACAACATCATACATAATGATGAGAAGCTGTAAGATAAGAAACAAGGCATGGGTGTCAGTTCTTTAGTTAATTATAAAACAAAGCAGAGCAAAAAAAAAAAAAGGAACAAACCAAAAAGAATAATTTAATAATTTTAAGAACAAGCATTTATACTGACCCTGTAATGTTACAAATCTTCCATATTTCTAAAATATTTTTGTTAAAGTTTTTAAAAAGTATTCCTAATCTAACCATTTTGCATCTGTATTACTATATAGTTAGCATAGAAACTTGAGTTTTAATTATTTTGTCTTAATAGTATATTAGATGTTAATCTGATTAAAGGAGTGATTAATTTCTGTCATTATTATCACTTATTAACTCATTGTCTCAATTATTATCAGACTTCTTTATTGTTCAGAAAGCTTTTAGGATAAATTTAATTGGAGTCCCTTTTTAGTGTGTAATTTTGCACATTTGAAATATTTATTTCAGGAATATGCCTCCTGAATTAAGTCTTCATGAAAAATGTGGGCTTAGAAGCAGGAGGGTTGCAGCAAATTCAGGAGGATCCTGGGCTACATAGTTTAAGGACAGCTTGGACTGCACAACAAGACCCTGACTCAAAAAAGCAAACAAACTAAAACAAAAACTATCAAGCAACAAAAAATAGAAACTTCCTTAAACTTGATAAAAGCTGTCTGTTAAATCCTACAGGGCTAACATCATATTTAATGGTGAAATACTAAATGCTTTCTCCCTAACATGAGAAACAAGGCCAAGGATGTCCTTTCTTGTTAGATGGTTTGACCAATTTAATCAGACCAAAAAAGAAATTGAAGGCATCTCATTTGGAAAGGAAAAAAATAAAACACATCATTCTCAGATGACATGATATTGTATATTAGAAAAATCCTAAAGAATAAATAAAGAGGCCAGGCGTGGTGGTGTGCTCCTGTAATCCCAGCACTGGGGAGGTTGAGGCAGGAGAATTGCCACAAGTTTGAGGCTATGTAGCCTGGGCTACATAGAGTTCAAGGCCAATCTGAACTACATAGTGAGACCCTGTCTCAAAAATAAAGAGTAAAAGAGTTCAGAAATGGCATAGTGACACACACATGTGATCCTAGCACTCAGGGAGGCTGAAGCAGGAGGATACTGCCAATGTACAGTAAATCCCTGACTTACAAGTGAGTTCCATTCTGGTAGAGTGTTCATAAGTCAGATTCCTTTGCATCCAACAAAGGAATCTTATACAGTACACCTGTGAAAGTTTGCAACTCAAATGTTTGTAAGTTGAGGACTCAGTGTATATTCAAAATAAAGTTAAGAAAATAGTTCCATGGGCCGGGGATTTAGCTCAGTGATTCCGGGGCCTGCCTCACAAGCGCAAGGTTCTGCTGAGTTCAATCCCCAGTACCAAAAAAAAAGAGAAGAAAATAGTTCCAGTCAGAGTACCATTACAAAGAAATTAAATATGTGGGAACAAATTTAACAAACAGCAGAAGACTCAACACTCTGAAAACTGTGGAACATTGCTGGGAGAAATTAAAAAGACAGATGAGATACGTTTGTAAGTTGGAAGATTATATTGTTTTAAGGTGGTAATTCTCAAGTTTCTGTGTGGAGGACTTGATAGTATCCTTATTGAAGTTCCAGGCAGCTGTTTTTCAGAAAACATTATGCTAATACAAAAATTTCTATGGAAATATGAAGTCCGCAGTATAGCCACACAGTGTCAAAAAGAATAAAATTAGAGGGCCGGGGATTTAGCTCAGTGGTTCCGCTGCCTGCCTTGTAAGGACAAGGTCCTGAGTTCGATCCCTGGTGCCAGAAAAAAAAAAAGAATAAAATTAGAGCACTTATATGTCCTGATTTGAAAATTTACTATAAAGCAACAACTTTCAAAACCGTGTGGTAAAAGCATAGGGATAGATTGAAATAGAGTTAAGACTCTTAAGAAAAAACCTTTTTATTTTTAATGAAAAATTTTTTTTCAGTACTGAGTATTAAACCTAGGGTCTTTGTGCATTCCCAGACCTTTTTATTTTTTATTTTGAGAAAAGGTTTCACTAAGTTGCCCAGGCAGGACTCAGTCTTCCTGCTTCATCCTTCCAGGGTGCTGTGATTACAGACATGCACCGTTATGCCTAGCTAAAACTCTGCATTTATGGGCAATTGACTGTAAGTGAAATACTAATGCAGAGCAATCAGTAAAGAGGTAGTATTTCCACTGATGATGCTAGTACGATTGGATATCCACATGTAAAAATAGATACTGTATTCCTTATTTAACAACCCACCTGTTTGATGACGTACAGCCAAAGTGGGTTGTTAATGCACTTACGACCTGTCTTTTTTTGTGAGTACAGTTCCATACATCTTGTTTATAGAGCCTCACTGTGTTTTTTTTAATATGTAGCACACCTTGTTTGTATAGTGCTATAATTTTTGCTGATAACACTCTCTAGTAAAGTACTGTACTTTTTTGTTCTGTTATATATTATAGTAGTAAATGTAAGAGTTAATCCAAATAAAAGCAAAGTCAAGTCATCAAAGCAAAGCAAAGTCATTGGAGTTTCCTATTTTAGTATATGTGCTGCCAAAGCGAGCACAAGTTGGAGTTTCCTTTGACCATTCCTTTTTTTTTGGTACTGGGGATCAAACTCAGAACCTTGCACTTGCCAGGCAGGCACAGTGCCACTGAGCTAAATCCACCCCTCCTTTTTTTGTGAAACAGTGTCTGGCTGTGTAGTTTAGGCTGGCCTTGAATTCACTATGTATCTCAGGCTGGCCTTGAACTTGCTATGATCCTCCTGCCTCACCCTTCCGAGTGCTAGGACTTTGACCATTTCTTTGTTCTGAATATATATGTATTTTTGGTACTGGGGATCGAACTCAGGTCCTTGCGCTTGCAGGACAAGCTGTGGAACCACTGAGCTAAATTCCCGGCCCCTGTTCTGAATATTGTAATGTACATACTATATATAATTCCTCATTTAGCAACCAAGTCATTTAACAACCTAGTTGCAGGTCTGTAACTTGATTGTTAAATTAGGAATGTCTGTATTTAATTTAGATCTTTACCTTACGCTTCATGTTGAAATGAACTCAAAATAGGTTATAATCCTAAATGTCAGAACTAAAGCTATGAATTTTTACAAGAAAAATTTTAGGAAAACATCTCCATGATCTTGAGTTAGGAAAATATTCTTTCATATGACACCAAAAGCATAAATAATCCCCTTTTTTAAAAGTGTTAAACTTTATCAAAATTAAAACTTTTCTTCTTCAAAAGGCTCCATTATGAAAATGAAAACAATCCATGAATTCTTTTTTTGTTGTTTTAAAAAAATATATGTATTTTTTTCACTGGGTGTGGTAGCACATGTCTGTAATCCCAGCATTCAGGAGGCTGAGGCCAGAGGATCGCTGTATGTTTGAAGCCAGCATGGGCTACATAGTAAGTTCAAGGCCAGCCTGAACTACATAGCAAGAATTCATCACAAAAAACAAAACAAAACAAACAATCAAAAAATATATATAGAGAGAGAGACCACCAAAAAAAATGTATACACACTTCAGGGGAGAAAATCTTAAATTGATTTTTTTGGAGATAGGGTCTCTCTTTATGCTTGAACAATGTAGCCAAGGCTAGCTTTGAACTCAGGGCAATCCTCTTGCTTCAGCCTCCCGAGTGCTGAAATTACAGGCATGCATCATCATGCCCAGCAGATATTTTAATACTAAATTTATTGAGACATCATGAGATTAATACCAGTTACCTTTGACCTCTACAAAAGAAGTGCTCAAAGTGGTAGCCATTAGCTTCTAGGCATTTATTAGTACGGCAAACTGCTGCTTGGGTAACCTTGGTCATTGAAATTGCTGTACATACATTTTCAGTTTAGTCTCTAAGGGCCCACAGTGTAGTGCATATTCTGTGGTATAGTACATCCTCTTGGTCCTCCATATGAGGGTAACATCATCTGTTGTAAAAACATAATATTTTTCTTTTCCAGAAGTGTGTATACCTTTTTTGGTGGACTCTGTATATTTTAAAAAATTTATTGGTATGTGTTTGCAATAAATAATAATTACATTCATCTTGAGGAATTGATAAAACACGTACAGATCACATTAATTTAAAATAATTAAACCAAGTGTAGTGGCACACATCTGTAATTCCAACCCTCAGATAGCTGAAGCAGGAGGATTGCTGCAGGTTCAAGCTAGCCTGGGCTATATTGCAAGATTCCCATCTCAAAAAAAAAAGTCAAATGAGAATATCATTTTCACCATTTGATGATAGCTAATGCATCAGCTCCTTACTTTGAAATTGGGAATTAAAAGGAAAAAAGTATCTATCCTGCTTTTGCATATGCAACTTGTACTTCAGTATAAGCAAATAACTCTGCTTAGTAAATTTTGTGTGGAAGAATTTCATTTAGTAAATTAGCAGGAATGACATAAAATCAGCATTTTTGAAACTTAAGTTGCTCCCAATATTCTTTTGTTCTGTTTTGTTTTGTTTTTTGGTACCAGGGATCAAACTCGGGTCCTTGCACTTACAAGGCAGGCAGCAGAACCACTGAGCTAAATCCCCAGCCCACTCCCAGTACTCTTTCTAACTACAAACCTTCAGATTTTCTAACAGTTTCAAGTTCATAAGTTTAAACCATAATGTTACCATTTTAGTAATTCAAAAACAATAAAATACTGACAATTTTATATTGTCAGGCTTAATATAGGCTAAAGAAAGATTTCTACAGTTGGAGTAAATTCATTCTTTTACCTGAGGAGGATGTGTTGCTCAGAGTAACTTTTTTTTTGCTGTCCCCTCCCCGTCCCCACCTGCTGAGTAACTTTTGCGATTACCTTGGATTTAGAAGATTTCTTATCCCAAAGGGTGTTACAAATTGACGATAAACATAAATGCAAGAAGGCATAGATAAAAACAATAGCTTTTAGTAAATAATAATAATTATTAATAAATGATAATTTAATAAATAATAAAAAATTTATTATTAATAATAAATTTGTCCAAAACGATGGTAGTAATTGAATACATCCTTAGCAGAATTCTAGCTTTCTGCCAACAGAAATAAAATTCCCAACTGAACAAAACTACTTTTCTTCTTCCTTTCATCATTTCTTTCTTTTTTAAAAATTTCTTTGTGGTTGTGGGGATCAAACCCATAGCCTCTTGGATGCTAGGCAAGTGCTTTACCACCCCAGCCTATGAATGAGTTTTCTAATCCAATGTTTGATTTCTTGTTTTTAAATATTTTTTAAAATTTTAATAACTTATTTTAAAAATTTAGAGTCTACTTTGTTTTTATCCTAGGTAGTGAGGCCCAAAATTGTTTAAGGGGAAAGTATATAAACACACTTAATTCGTTAATAGGACAATTAACCTTCTGTAGTAGAATTTTGCATCAATGCCTCTTATTGAGGTTTTTTTTTGTTGTTCCCTTCTTCCCTTCCTTCTTCCCTTCTTTCCTTTATTCCACCCTTCCTTCTGTCTCCTTTTCTTCCCATATTTAATTTTGGATTCTTCTTTAACTTACCTATTATTTTTCCTTTCCTTATTATAGTCTGCCTTTTCATCTTATTATTTCTCTTGCTGATTAAACACCAGCCAGGCAACAAAATTTTACGTATGTTTGGACCACAGAAGGAAACTGATTATCATTGTGTGCCACAAAGGAAAAGTTGTTTTTGTTACTTAATTTTCTTTTATATTGGAAAAATTGTGTCCCTTTTAGAAAATCATATTTGTAGGTCTCTGGCTATCTGTGACATCAGGACAATTGAGAAGCAATTATGTAGGAAGATTAGTCAAGATAGTAATTTACATCAGAAATATTTTATAAAATTGCTCTTGAGGCAAATAGTGCTATTTGAGGAGCACGCAGATATTCATACTAAAGTTCAAATAGAAATATTAGAATATTTAAATACAAATATGCAAACTAAAATTCTCATTGTCATGTTATCTGTAAAATAAAAATGAATATGAGAATAAGCTACTTTGTAGGAGTGTATGAGAATTAGAGATGATCATGTGAAGGGCCTGAAACAATCTCTAGCATGGCAAGCACTTATTACATGGAAGCCAGTATCACTGAAAATTTTGTTTGTTCTTACTCGGGTATTATGTGCTTCAGTGTTTATTCATTATTTTTTCTGCAATCATAAATCCCATTTGCATCCTAAACTGCTGTTATGTGTTAACTTCTTTGCTTTGTTTTGTCTTACAGGCAACAATTGGCATTGACTTTTTGTCAAAAACAATGTATTTGGAGGATCGAACAGTGAGTAATCTTTTCAGTGTGCAATTTTCTGTAACACTCCATATTAGAAACCTGTGATCAAAGCTATAATCAGTGATAGTCACCTGTAGAAATGTGTAACAAAGTTACCAGTTAGCTTATAGGCATTGAGAGAAATTGTTACTTACAGAATTAGTTGTTCTTAGCCCTCTGATTTAAGTCCAAGTGAGATCCAAAGGGAGAGAGAGAGATAAATTTTTTATAAAACCCTGTTGTCCCTAGCCTTGTTAAGCAAAATTTGTCATCTTGATTTGGAAAGATGCCAAATGATAGCTTTAAGAGAGAATTAAGAGAATTTTTATGAAAAAATTAGAGCTGATAAATATCTTTTGAATGCCACTCTTGAGGCACTCAGAAAAATTTCATTTGAATATCATACAATTTGTGAACTTGAAGATTTTGTCAGAATAATTTATATGCCAAAGTGACCAAATAGAAAGAAACTGTGTATTTGTTAGGTTTTTATCTTCTTATCCTTTCTAGTGTACCCATTAAATACAATGTAAAGTTTGTATTCTAGCCTACTACCCCTTGAAGAAATTCTTATCACCTAAACATTGAATACCTTTAGTGCAATATTGCAGGACCTGTACCCAAAAGACATTATTTTACCTTCAATGTTATTTACTATTAAGTGTGTTTTTTCTTTTGGATGTTCTCTTTTATGTTTTCATATATAACATACCATTTCTTAGAACTTGAAAGCCTCACGACTGCTTTATAATGGTAAGAGAACTTGATGCTTGTTTTTAGCTTATCTTTCTGTAATCTAGATGTGAGAAAGTAAGTAAAAAAATTTTTGTGTTGGGTTGCAAAAAGATATTTCTCCTTTTTTGATCATCCACATTGGTCTGGGGAGAAATATATGGAAGAAACATAAGCATAGTAGAAAAGACCCCATTTCAGAATGTTCTAGACTCAGTAAGAAAGAGACATATTTTAGCTTCAGAAGTCTTTCAAAGAAACATTAGTGCCTTTACTCCATAGCCTGAGCTGCTCATTTGAGATTTACCCTCTTTTTCTCTTTTATGTTCATATTGAATATCAGCAGCCTACTTTTTGTCATTTGAAAGGTGTAGGGACTCAAAGAGGTTATAGGGAGGGACAAAAGAGAAGCTGTATTTCTGATTCTGTGAAATCTTTCCCGGTGATATTTTTTAGTCATGTATCTTCAGAGCAAGACATTTTTAATATTACTCCCTTTTGAAAAGGGAATTTTGTGTTATTTTCATTCCTTACTCCCCTGAAACCTCTTGCATGAGTCTTCTCTCTACCTCTCATCCTCCCCCTTTACAAAAGCATTTTCTTTTTTCTTTTTCTTTTTTTTCTTTTTCTTTTTTTTTTTAGTATTAGTTTTTTTTTTTGGTTTTTTTTTTATTTATTTTTTCCCATCCCACAGATCAGGCTGCAGCTGTGGGATACTGCGGGTCAGGAACGTTTCCGTAGCCTCATTCCCAGTTACATCCGTGATTCTGCTGCAGCTGTAGTAGTTTACGATATAACAAGTAGGTATATTGCAAAGGGTTGACCTTTCTTATTTTTCTTGCTTGTTTGACTGATTTTGTTGTTAGGTACGATTGCAATTATGGGACACAGCAGGTCAAGAGCGATTCAGGAGCTTGATTCCTAGCTACATTCGTGACTCCACTGTGGCAGTTGTTGTTTATGATATCACAAGTGAGTGGGGGGAATTATGCATTTCTAATCTCCTTTCAACTTTTAGCTTAGCTGCATGCATGTTCTTGTCTTGTGCTTGTTTTCCTTACTGGCATGTAAAATTAAGTTTATCATAACAAACTTTATTACAGACCGGCCAGGTCAAAAATACTTGCTTTGGTGTTTGAACCGGTATGCTTTATTTCTTCTGTACCAGGTTTTTCACTGTAGAAGTTGTCTTGTAGGTCCAATTATGACTCCTTTTCAAGGCTTTCTTATTATTCTGTTATCCCTAAGCTATACCATAGTCATGACTGAAGGGATATCTCCTTTTTCATGTAATTTTATCTCAGATTTCTCTAAAATAATCTGCAATTAAGCCTCTTGCCAAGTTTTCCAAATCCTCCAAGGCTTCTGTTGAGGCCTTTAAAAGCTTCTACTAGTCAGCTTTTCTCTGCTTTCCCCTTCAAATTATTCTGTCTCTATAGAGGAAGACAGAGAAAATGTAACATGTACTTTTCTGTTAAATCATTTTTGTTTGATTCATATCTGCATTCTGTTACTGACTGACTTTGATGCTAACAGACTACACTTTCATTTCTCTCCAAGAAAAAATTTTTAAATGGGAAATTAAATAAGTAGTAATTGGTCTTTTTCTTTTTCCCAAAGATTGAATAATGCCTTTGGCCTTTTAAATGACTATAAATTTTCCATGGAGCTTTGGTGACTAACAAGAAAATGCCCTGATTGAAATTGTCTTTGCAAATTGGTTTATGACATACATAAGGCAATATTTAACGTCATTCTAAAAAATATTTAACATCATTCTATATAGTAGTCCATAACTTGTAGGAAAACCAGGTTTATGCAGCATCTTGAACTTTTTAAAAAACATCTTGTATGAACTATTGACTTGAGCTGGGCATAGATATTTTTGCATATCTGCAAAAAAATTTAGTCAGAGGTCATAGCTACTAAACAATAACTGCAACAGTAAAATTAGAAGATTGCGTTCAGAGACTGTTTTTTTGGAGAGGTGCAGTCTTTCTTTTGCAGCTTTACTTTGGGTTGCTACTTGTTTAAAAAAATGTATGTTCCTTATGCATTGACTAGTTTTGTAGCTTTAAAATGTTTGTGCTTGCTTTAACCAAAGCAAAAGAAACTTGGTGTGTTTTTCTTTAAAAATTCTACAAATATGTTAAAATATTAGTAAATTAATTGCTGTAGAAATATTGAAATATTCCATTTAGAATCCAACACTAGAAGAGATGAATTTTCTTAGAAGTGATTCTGGTGCATTACACCAGTAAACTTTAGGTTAAAGTGATCACAAACTGAGTAAGCAATGCAAACACAATCATGTTGAAAGCTATTTAAAGAATACAAATTTTCTGGATGTGTTGGGACTTACTGGCTGACATACTTTTGGAAATGCTTTCTTTGTCATGTTTGGTATGTGTAAGTGATTAAAAAAGCATTGTGGCAATGTAACACCAAATTATCTGCCATAGCTGTCCTTGTATTTTAAATAGTTTATTTTTTCCAATTACCTATTGTACTCATTTGATTATTGTCAGATTTAAATACTGTACTCTAAAAGGAACTTTGAGGATCTTATTCTTCAGATTTGTTTAGATCTCTGACAGTTGTAATCAGATAAAATGGAGTTATGTTGCAGGCACATTAAAAGTGGGTTCCTAATGTGCCATCCTTTGTCCAACTTCCAGGGTATTTGGGGGGAGTGGCGTGTCCTTTGCTTGGGAGGCATTTTCAGTAACGCTGATCTCTGTCCACCCTCCCATACCAGATGTTAACTCATTCCAGCAAACTACAAAATGGATTGATGATGTCAGAACAGAAAGAGGAAGTGATGTTATCATCATGCTAGTAGGAAATAAAACAGATCTTGCTGATAAGAGGTATGATGTGATTTTGTGTGTGTGGAATATTTGATTTCCATGGTATTTCCACCTGTTATTTTTATTCACTGAAAAATTGTTTTGAAAAGAGACATGGGGCCAGGGATTTAGCTCAGTGGTTTTGTCGCCTGCTGCGCAAGCTCAAGGACCCGAGTTCTGTCCCCGGTACCAAAAAAAGAAAAAAAAAAAAAAAAGAAAAGAGACATGTTTAATCCTTCAGTTTTCTTTAGCATGAGATCATGAAATATTCAAACTCAGTTCTTGAGGGAAAATGAGTTTTATTTTGTGTCACCCCATATATAAATAACTCTTGTGGTAGATTGTTTACACATGAGGCCAGGAAATATTTTACATTTTTAGATCTCATAAGTAGAAACTATGTTTTGTTAAACAGCAAACCATTTTTAAAAACAAATTTCATCTTTAAATTTGTGATGATTAAATGCACACATTTTTATAATCTTATAAACATTTATTGTAATACGGTAGTGTGGGGAGGGTTTGGTCTGTATTCTTGTATTTTTTTAGTATATGTGCTGCCGAAGCGAGCACTGTATTCTTGTATTTTTAAAAATGTTATGATTGAGCCAGACTTGCAGTTGAACTGAATAGCTTTATTGTGATACCTTAGTTAAATGAGCAAGGCTGTATTCAAGTCACAAGATGTAAAGTGTATTAATAATCTTGTAGAACCCATGGCTTGAATATCTGCTTTGAGCATTCTTCAGTGATCTACTGCTTATACTTTCTGCTTTAAATAGCATTGACCATAGCACTTAATAGTGGGAGATTTTACTATTTGTAACTTATTTATTCATGAACTGGATTACAAGGTTTTGGTAATGATTTTGTGATATTAACTACAATGTTTCAGGGAAATCTAATGTTCAGTCAGGGATTTAGCTCAGTGATACCATGCCTGCCTGACAAGTGCAAGGTCCTGAGTTCAATTCCTGGTACCAAAAAAAAAAAAAACCAAAAATAAATCTGATGTTCAAAGATTTGTGGAGTTGGGCACAGTGGCACAGTCCTGTAATCCCAGCATTCTGGGAAGCTGAGGCAGGAGGGTTGTACCTTTGAGCCTGGCCTGGGCAACTTAGACTCTATCTCAAACAAGAAAAAAAGCGTGGAATGTAGCTCAATGTGAAACCTTCACTACCCAATACTGCCCCTCCCCCCAAAAACAAAACTTGTGGAGATTTTAAGTCTATTTCTGCTTATAGTAAGTACCTCAAGAGGATCCTTTAAGCATCTGTTCTTTTATTGTTTTATATTTCAATTAAGTGTACAAATGCTAGGAACATAAATTATATTTACAATAATTTTTCTTAAGGTAATATTTGTCAGCTGCCCTAGAATTACCATCTTTCTTTAATTTTTGCTACAGTATCACCTCTGACCTAATCACATTTTTTTTTTTACTTAATCACATTTCAAAGAAGTAGAGGTTGATTATTCCCCTAAAAGGGTTTCTGAATGAAAGATTTAAATGTTCACCAAAGTGTCAACATGAAATGCTTTGATAAAGGGTGGTCTTTTATAAACATGCCATGAAATCCTAAAGCCATAAAGGGGAAGATTGATAAGTTTGAGTACATAAAGATCATATTCACCTATTAGACTGAATATGATGCAGAAGGTTGATAATACACAGTATTATCTAGTTTAAATAAGTAAAATCTCTTGTATACTGAAGATGTAGTTGAATATACTTTTGAGAGGAAACAATTTGACAGTATCATAGTTTAAAATACTCATTGAGGGGCTGGGGATTTAGCTCAGTGGTTCCGGCGCCTGCCTTGCAAGTGCAATGTCCCGAGTTCGATATCTGGTACCAAGAAAAAATACTTATTGACTCAGATCTGCTTCCAGTATCCCACAGGTATGCCCACAGAAACATGTAGAGATGAACATCAAGAATATTTTTTGTAGCCGGCAGTGTAGCTCAGTGATGCCTCACCTGCCTGGCAAGCACACACAAGGTCCTGAGTTTGATCCCCGGTGCCAGGGGGAACAAAAAGAATATTTTTTGTGCCAGTCATGTGGCTGACATATGTAATCCTAGCAGTCAGAAAGTTGAGACAGGAGGAGCACAAGTTCAAAGCCATCCTGTGCTACATAGTAAGGAGTTCAAGGCTAGGCTAGACTATATAGTGAGATGCTGTCTCCAGTGAATGAATAAATGAATGAATGGCTATTGTAAAGACTCATATTCACTTTTTAAATTTCTGCATACTGTTATTCAGTGAGTCCTGTGTGGGTCCTTGATTATATATTTTAAATAATATTCCTAGATGATTCTAATACAGTAAAACCATAATTAGGAGCCAGGGATTTAGCTCAGTGGTTCCACTGCCTGCCTTGCAAGCGCAAGGTCCTGAGTTCAATCCCCAGTACCAAAAAAAACACAAAAACCCACAATTAGGACTATCGGTATAGCAAACTTTCAATTTTATTAAGATGACTTATAGTTACCTTAATGAAAATAGGATTCTAAAACCAGGAAGGAGTTCTTCTGAATCGTTCTTGTGTAGGATTTACAGAGTAGAGATCATTCATTCAGGAAGTGTTTATTGAGTGTCATTTATGTTCCAGATACTGCTATTCTGCCATAGAATAGTGTACTAAAAAGACAGGACTAAAAGTCAAGTTTTAAGAAGCTTTTATTCCAGAGAGTGATCTAGACATTTAAATAAGTCAATACTTTGGGTATGGTAGTACACATCTTTAATCCCAGCTACCTGGCAGGCTGAGGCAGGAGGATCATGAACTTCAGGCCAGCCTGGGCAACATTGCCAGACTCCATCTCAAAAACAAACAAAAAAAGAGTAAACTACATAGTATGTTAGATAATGATACACGCTAAGGGGAAAATAAAGGAGGGAGAGGAAGGATGGGTTTGAAATTTTAAATAGTTTTTGGTGGAATACTCACAGAGATGGTGACTTTTGAGTAAAGATGCAAAGGAAGTAAGGGAGTCATTTATGTCAAGGGGAAAGTGTTAACTGCAGCTATCTGGAGGGAAGAGGTTCGAGGCAAAAGGGTCCGAAAAACTTAAAATCCTTGATTCAAGAATATACTTAGTTTAGCCCAGTGTGGTGGCACATGCCTGTAATCTCAGCACTTGGGAGGCCGAGGAGGTAGCAGGATTGCTGCAAGTTTGAGGTCAGCCTGGGCTACATAGCAAGACCCTGTCTCAAATCACCAAAAAAAAAAAATACACTTAGCTTGTTTGAAAAATAACAAGAAGGCCTTTATAGCTAAAGAAGAAGATGGAAAGATTAGGTTTTAATAAAGTATTGAAGGCTAGATTGTGTAAGGCAAAGTAGAGGCTATTTCTAAATGGGATTAGAGGATTTGAGAGGAGTAATTTTTCTTGGATTATTAGTTGCTTTGTTGAAAATAAGAGAAAAGAAAGAAATGATGAATCGGGTAAACATTCTAACACAGGCTGTGATCCAAAAAATGATGATGACTTGGAACAGAGCAGTGATAGTTTATGTGATAAGTGGTTAAAGTCAGGTATATTCTGAAGATAGAGATTTTAGGATATACTGATGCAGTGGATGGATGGAATGTAGATATGAGAGAAACAGCAGTCAAGGATTATACCCAGATTTTTGTCCTGGACAGCTGTCATTAACTGAGGTGAGACCGACTACTTAAAGACTGATTTGGGAATGTTGTAACTTGAGTTTTGGTTATGTTTAGAGTGGCTGTTACATATCTTGAGTGTAGGCAGTTGGGTATGAATCTGGAGTTCAGAGCAACAGGTCAGCCTAGATATATAAGCTTGTGAGTTATCAGCATAGATGCTATTTTAAACTGTGAGACTACAACAAGATCACCAAGAGTAACTGCAAATAGAGAAGAGATTTAAGAAATACATTTTAGGGTATCAAATATTTTTTAAAGGATTTCATAAGTTTCTACTTGTCACTATTGACATTTTGGGCCAGATCTTTGATGTGAGGGACTGACCTGTGGATTGTAGGGTATTTAGCAGCATGCCTGACTTTTACCTGTAAGATACGGGGAGCCCACCGCGCACACATCAGGTCATGACAACAAAACTTCTACCAAAATTGCCTCTGTTGAGAACCACCAGTTAAAAAATTAAGGAAGTCAAGCCGAGCATCTATAATCCCAGTACGTGGGAGCCTGAGGCAGGATTGCTGTGATTTGAGGCCAGCCTGGACTACATAGTGAATTATGTAGTGAGACCCCGTCTCAAAATAATAATAATAATGAAGTAAAATAAAATTAAGGAAGTGAGGAGGAATTGGCAGATTAAGGAGAAATTAGCTACAAAGGTAGGTTGAAAAATCAGATGAAGTATTCTGCAGCCAATTGAAAATAAATGTGGGGTTTTTTTGGAACTGGGAATCGAACTCAGGACCTTGCACTTGCCAGGCAAGCTTACTACTGAGCTAAATCTCCACCCCCCAAAAAAAAATATTTTAAGGAAAAGACAATGATTATCTGTGTAAATGCTGTTTAAGGTAAAATGGAGACAGAATTAACCGTTGAAATGAGAAATTTGGAGGTTAGTAATACTGAAAAGTAGTAACACTGGACTAGTGGGGTTGAAATGTTGACTGTAGTAGGTTTAAGACAGAAACTCCTAGGCTGGGGATATGGCTCAATGATAGAGCACTAGCCTGTCTTGAGGCCTTGGGTTCAACCCTCAGTACCACTAAATAAGTAAGGAATCCAGTACACAAATAAATAAAATTATAAGCTAGAATGCCTTGTCTCCCTGCTGAAGATATAAAACTTAACAGTGAACAAGATGATTCTATTTTATAACATACTAAAAATCTACACTATGATAACTGTGAAACCCTAAGGAAAGAGTGTAGATTTGTATAGAAAAACATGCGCATTGGATAAGAAAACAATGTAGAGCCAGGGATTTAGCTCAGTGGTTCTGGCGCCTGCCTTGCAAACTCAAGGTCCTGAGTTCAATCCCCAGTACCAAAAGAAAACAATGTAGAGAT